GATTGCCATTCATTTTTCTGTAACAACGTATGAAGTCAGGAAATAGTTAAAACACAAACCATATTTTAACTAATTAAAAATACATAATGATTCTAGTAAAATATCTTGATTTTATGTAAAATCTATTATTCCATATTAGGTCTCTTTTTTCTATATTTTATAATACTATGTACCAACCAGAACGTGATAATTTCATGAAAAAATGCTGTCGTCTCAACAAAATTTCCTCCTTGAAATTACAGCTTTACGCGTGGTATAACGTATAAAGTATAAAGAAACGCAGGAAGAAAGAAAACAATTGTACTGTTCAACAGAAGGTAATAATAATAATTCTGGTTACAGTCAAGACGTGAAATAGACCGCAATTTTCATTGAAGCTTAAAAATTGTCGCAAGATTACGATAAGAGCGTTATCAAGAAACTGCAGATTTTACGTCATGCGTATATCACTTGTACACAGTATGTCGGAAAAATAACGGAATGCAATAATGCCATCTATTGAAACAATACGTAACCTGAAAGCTGTATATTTCCTCTACAACATAAAAGCATCAATATTGGAATCGACTAACGGATTGTCAAGTTATAACGGTTAAAGTGGCAGTACAATGGAACAAAGAGCAAATATTAAATTTTGTTTCATGTTCGGGAAAACTTTTACAGAAACATTTGAATTGATGAAAAAAGTTTATGGTGATGATTGTTTATCCCGTGCGCGTGTGTTAGAATGGTATAAACGATTCCAGGACGGTCGTGATGCTTTGGAAGATGATCCAAAGCCAGGCCGGCCAAAAAAGAAAAATCGCGATGAGTTGATGGAATAAGTGCTTGAAATAATTACCTACGATGCGACTTCAAGTGTGAGATGGTTGGCAGAGGTATTAAATACGACTAAAAATATGGTTCACGAAATTTTGACAAAGGACTTCCTCACACATTAAATGAGGACCAACAGATTGTTCGCGTTGAACATTGCAAGGATCTTATTAAAACAGTCAGTCGGAACTGCACATTCCTGGAATCGATTGTGACTGGAGACGAGACTTGGTGCTTCAAGTACGATCCACAAACATAGCGCCAAAGTGTAATATGGAAGTCCCCAGACTCTCTGAAATCGAAAAAATTGCGATTCCAGAAGTCACGAGAGAAGACAATGTTGATCTGCTTTTATGATTCTAAAGGTATTATACTTCGGGAATTCGTTCTACAGGGTAAAAATGTCGATGGTGAATATTATCTGGCTGTTATAGAGCGTTTGTGGAAAAAAATCGTTCGAATGAGGCCTGAATATCGAGCGCCAGAAAGTTGGTTTTTGTTGCACGATAATGCACCATCGCACAGGACTGTCGCTGTTCGTGAATTTTTTGCGAAAAAACCGGTCCTGTGTGGTCCAACATCCTCTGTATTGGCCGGATTTATCTCCATGTGATTATTTCCTATTCCCAAAACTCAAACTGGCCATGAAAGGAACGTTTTATGACAGTGTTACGCAAGTCCAAGAAGCGGTGAGAAGAGTCATTGAGGCGATTCCGCAAAATGATATAAAAAATCTATGCTGGCACTAATCGAACGTGCCCGGCGGTGTACTGATGCAGAAGGGATGTATTTTAAATAAAAAAAAATAATTTTGGCAAAATAACTAATTTTCTTCTTTTAATTTAAAGAGTTCCGTTATTTTTCCGAGATACTGTGTATAATAATCGAGCCAAGAGCCAACTAACATAATCTGAAACTGGAGGGAGAACTCGTCGGAATGACCATTCGCATGTCTCGGACCGAGTTCGTATCGAATTGCTAATAACTTGCTCGTAAGCTCCTATATGCGCTAATTAAGCTTCATGAATTTAAAATTGCGCTCGTTAACTGATGCGTTTGTCGAACAATTACTCCGCGCGATAATGATTATCTTTGACCGTGCATTAAAATCGAAATCATTTTTCGCGTGACAGGTAGGAATTTAAAAAGGTGGGCATAGCGTGTTGGAAATATTTGAGGCGAAAGTTCGTTGCCAGAACAGAAGGAACTTGTTCGCGCTAAAAACTCGATGTGTAAAAGTAAAAACACTATATTTCTTTCTTGTTATGTAACTACCACATTAACGTCTTTTTTACTTGAAAATTTTTTTTCACTACAATTCAACTTTATTTTTCACTCGCAATATTTCTTTCCTTTTAAAACATTCTACTTTTTCAAGCACTTTTATTCGTAACGCTGTTTAACATCGCAGCAGTTTCAAGTAAAACAAACATCAAACCGAGTTTGTAGAGACGTTGACATTCGGTGACGCGAGAAACTCGTTTAACCTCAATATTCGTGAGTTTATTAAGAAAATAAATAACGAAAAGTTCGATTGGAACCGTGATAGTGAGCGGATGTGTTTGTCAACACCGTGCGTGCTGTGAACGCGAGTACCAATCAAATCTTACATGTATTCATGATAGTCTGTGTGACCGTGAATTAGTGAACATTAGTAAATTGTTATAAACCACCCTTTAAACCCATCTCGACGCCTTTCTCGGTGCAACCTATTCACCGAAATGGCTTCTGACCACGGAAATTTTGTACCCCAAACTGTTAATAATAATCCTAACACACCATGACGAAGCTACAATAAAGTACTACAAAGTGATTGCTTCCCCAAAAAAGATCAAGCGATCGTAATCGAAGCCAAAGATGGAATTCAATTAAAAGATTACGCTCATGCATTAGGCAGAATTACCAATCCAGCGAATATTAGATTTATGTCAAGAGTATCCAACGATAGAATTTGTGTTTTTTTGGCAAGTAAGAGAATCGCGGACGACCTCACCGATAAATATAAACACATTAAAATTAACGGTACCGATGTAGCCGTAAGGCTGTTAATCAGCAAAGCTCAACGTATAATACTTTCAAACGTTTGTCCAACAATCCCTCACTCAATAATTGAAGAAATACTTGATAAAATTGGAGTGAAAAGAGAATCAGCTGTTTCATTCCTAAGAGCGGGCATGGCAGAAGAGGGCTTTGCGCACATCCTTAGTTTTCGTAGCCTTGCTACCTACCCGGCGCGGTGGCTCTCCGAGGTCGGGCGGCCCTGAGCGCGCGGAAGGCGAGCGCCGTGATTGGTCAGTGTTTTTCGTTAATAATTCAAAAACGAAGCTCCATCCGACATTTTTGCAAAGGAAATTGTTGTTCAGAATCGTCTCAGCTACCCCCCATTTCCGGTTCTTACACTATTTACGGGACACCCTGTATATCCATCCAGACGACACGCATAAAATCCCAGACTCAATCAAAATTGAACATGAACAAATCGCATACTGGATCTATCCCTCCACAGATACATTAAAATGCTTCATATGTAATAAAGAGGGCCACGTCGCAAAAAACTGTAAAACCGATAAAAACCAACCCTTGCTTTCTGAATCTCCACAAACAAGTGTGTTTATAAAACCCCAAGACCCCAAAATAGTTCCAATAGTATCTAATACTGATAGTACAGACATGGCAAAGGAATCAGAAAACCCTAGTAACAATATAGCAACAGAAACCATGGACATAGATCCATTGATCAGAGCTTTAAAACGCATAAGATCCGAAATGACCGACGATTCAAGCCTCACCACAGAAGGAACCAACCATTCAAACCACGCCACAGAAAAACCAATCAATCTTCAACAAATCCTGGAAACTGAATCGAAATGCAAACAGCCAAAGAAAAAACCGAACATTGTAACAAAGAGCGATAAAAGCATAGATGACATGTTGCAGCCAGTTAAACACGTACTAGAAGAACCTGATAAGATGTTAAACTTCTACCAACTTAAAAGCTTTATTGAAAACACACTTGGATCCCCCAACACTAGAGAGATTGCAACAGAATACACAGATGACGTAGAAGCTCTAGCAAATTTTATGAAAGAGCTCTACCCTTACCTCACAGACCGTTGTATCAAAAACAGATTCACAAGAATCACGAGAAAACTAGTTAAATCTACCAAGGCTGATCTCTCAATGAGCTCTCCTGCTTCTTCGGATTGTTCAGATACTCCCCAGTGCTCCGAAGACGAATACACCAATTAAATATCAAACAAATAAAATACCGTTCAATAAGTACAAATGCTAAGGAAGATTATACAATGGAATGTTAATAGTTTAAAAGCACGTTTTGAATTCTTACAAAAATTGCTCCAAGATCATCGGCCATGCGTATTATGTCTGCAGGAAACAAATTTCAAAGTAAATGAATCTATCAGTATCAAAGGTTTCAACATAGTCCAAAAAAATAGAAGGAATGCTTTGATTGCGAGTGGCGGAGTAGCAATCTACATGAAACAAAGCCTAAATTACGCAGAAATACCGCTAAACACTAATATTGAAGCAATTGCGGTCTCAATCATTCTACATCAAAAAGAAATATGTATATGCAACGTCTACATTCCAAATAACTACCAACTTCAAGAAGCCGAATTACTCAACATTATAGAGCAACTCCCCAAACCTTTCTTATTAATGGGAGATTTCAACAGCCATAACACAATGTGGGGATCTGCAAACACAGACACTAGAGGAAAACTAATTGAAAATATAATACTCAAATCAGAAATCACCTTGTTGAATAATTCCGAACCCACTCATTTCAACATGTCAAATGGCTCTTACAGTTCAATAGACCTAACCTTCTGCAGTCCCAACATTTTCAACATCATTCAATACGAAATTTCAACCGAGTTATACAACAGCGACCACTTCCTCATTATCATTGAACAAATAGACATTAATGCTGATAACCATATAACACAACCTAGATGGAAATTCAAAAAAGCGGACTGGCCGCTATACCGCCACGAAGTAAATCAAAACCTTCCATCACTACAAACGCCTGATGCCTCAAACTGTTCGGAAATAAACCAAATATTAAAAGAGTTTGAAGAAGTAATCAACCATGCTGCCACAAAATCCATACCTAAAACATCCAATAATACAGAGAAAAAAAATCTCCCTTGGTGGAATGATGAATGCCGCAATGCGATTCCAATTTAATAGAGTTCAAGCGGGCAAGGGTCAAAGCAAGGAAAATCCTTAAACAAGCAAAAAAGAATTCGTGGATAAATTACATCGCATCCTTAACAAAGACCACTCCATGTGAACAAATATGGAATAAACTGAAGAAAATTAATGGCCACAAAGTAAGTTCCCAAATTACTGCAATCAAAAGTTCTGATAATTCGACTACCACAGACGCTACAGAAATTGCCAACCTTCTAGCTGCTACCTTTGCGAATAATTCGAGTAATGAAAAGTTCGACCCAAACTTTCTCAAAATTAAAGCCAGTGTTGAAGAAAATTCAAGACACAAACATATCATCTCTCAGACAAACAATCGCCCTCTCAACATGAAAATTCTGTCTACCGAATTACAATCGGCGCTAAAATCTGTTAAAAATTCCAGCCCAAGACCCGACAACATTCCAAATATTTTTATCCAACAACTACCAAAAGCAGGAATAAATTATTTATTAGATATCTATATAAGGTTATTATTTTATAGCTAGGGTTACAGAATAGACCATCAGTGTTACTCTGAAAAATAGAGTTTTATTCTTATATTTATGATGTACATTATATACACTATTTACACTAATTACAACTTAATATTACCTAAAAAATAGAGGAACGACAATATAAGTCTATTCTCTCTCTTAACTATTCTAATTATTATACTAATGTATTTTTCTTTATTTCCGTTTCTGCTCTCGCTTAACGTTTGTCTTCGCACGTGTTCTATTTCTCTCTCTCTCTCTCTCTATCTCTTCGTCATCTTTCACCGGTTACTTCCTTTCCTACGCATTACCTTAAGAGAGCGCTAAATCATCAGTGCGCGCAATTTAAATTAAAGAAAGTACACTTTCTTTACATCTATAACTGCATATGGCTGAATGGTGTCTTCCCTACCAAGTGGCAAGAAGCAATAGTAGTTCCCATTCTAAAACCTGGAAAAAACAAGCTTCAAATCGACAGCTACAGACCTATCGCCCTGGCATGCTGCCTATGCAAATTGCTAGAGAAAGTAATCTGCAAAAAATCTGCGATGGTATCTGGAAACCAATAACCTACTAGGAAAAAATCAAAATGGGTTTAGACAGTATCATTCGACGATTGACAACCTTGCAATGTTAGATATAAACATTTGCGGTGCCTTCCTTAAAAAACAACATCTAATAGCAATATGTTTGGACATTGAGAAGGCTTACGACATGCTTTGGAGACATCGAATAATACAACAACTTATAAAGTGGAACATAAGTGGAAGCATGATAAAATTTATATACAATTTCCTAAAAAGCAGATCTATATGTCCGTGTCAACGGCAATTTATCCAAGAAAGTTGAAATCTTAAATGGGGTACCGCAGGGATCTGTACTAAGCGTATTTTTATTCTTGATTGCAATAAATGATATCGCTGAAGTCTTCTGTAAACCAGTTAAGCACACCATATTCGCTGACGACTGTACCTTCTTTATAACCGGGAAAAGTCTAAGCACCAGTCAGCAAATCCTTCAAGACAATTTAGATAGACTCCAAAAATACGCCCTACAAACTGGATTCAAATTCTCCAAAAAGAAAACCACCGTAACAATTTTTTCAAAACAAAGAACAACACAAAACCATCAACTACAGCTACACTTAGGCCAGCACCAACTCATGATAACAAGCACGCCAAAAATTCTCGGCCTAATTTTTGATAACAAATACACTTGGACTCTATTCTTTAAAAAGCTCAAAGAAGAATGTGTAAATAGATTAAATATATTGAAGATCATCGCTTCGAAAAACTGGGGAGCTGAATTCCAAATTCTATTAAATTCATATAAGGCCTTAGTTCTGTTCCAACTTGATTATGGGTCAATCGTCTACGATTCTGGAAAACCACGAGTTCTAAAATTATTAGCACCTATACATAATGCCGGAGCTAGAATAGCCACTGGAGCCTTCCGAACGAGTCCGGTTACTGCAATTCTATGCGAAGCTGGTTTGACACCACTAGAAACTCGAAGAAAACAACTGAACTTATCGTATGCAGCAACCAGATTATCAACGCCTTCAAACCCTATCTACGAACAATTAACTAACACCGCTCATTTCAATGAATTTAAGGAAAAGCCCAAACTACCGAAACCGTTAAATAATAGAGTCAAAACATACTGGCAAGAACTAAATATGGATACACCAAAAATTATATCGAGAATACAGTATCAAATTCCACCATGGACGATAGATCCTCCTTGCATACTCGAAAAAATTCTGGAAGCAAGAAAAAACACCAACTCAAACGTTCTCAAAAGTCTATATACTGAATTATCAAATGAATACCCACACCATACGCAAATTGTCACTGATGCCTCAAAATCAGGACAGGGGACTGGATGTGCGGTATGCACTCCTGAACATGAACTGCTATTTAGGCTTCCGGAAACGTTCACAGTATTCACTAGTGAAGCATTAGCCGTTCTACAAGCCCTGAAGTACATAGAAGAAACAACACACAACAAATCCATCATTCTAACTGATTCTAAAAGCACCCTACTCGCTCTACAAAATTTGGAAACAAATAACTCAGTAATCCAAAACATTATTGAATTAAATGAAACCCTTAAGCGAGACAAAAGAGAAGTTTTATATTCCTGGGTCCCCGCCCATATTGGTATTGAAGGCAATGAAAAGGCCGATACAGCAGCAAAACTGGCTAGCTCCAGTACAGCTATAATGAAATATGAGCAAGCAACTCATCAAGACCTCCAAAAGTATTGCACCAAGGCACTAACGGGAGTGTGGAATGAAGAATGGAGAAATAGCAGACCAACTAAGCTACACAAAGTTCGAAACAATATATATGACTTCAATCCGGCACTACCACTAAATAGAAAAGATCAAGTGAAAACAACCCGATTAAGAATAGGACACTCAAGCTGGACACACTCATACCTTATCACAAAAACCGAACCAAATTCCTGCGACATCTGTAACGTAGAAAATACTATTGAACACATCTTGACAATTTGCCCTAAATACAATATGAAGAGGATTCAACATAAGCTACAAAATTCACTAACGATCCTACGAGAAATAGACTCATGCAAAAAAGTTTTAAACTTATTAAAAGACATTAAAGTATGCCAATTGCTCTAAATATGATCAGTTCCACTAGGTAAACCAATTGTGATCACTAATAACCAACAAGGTGCATGTGGCCTAAAACGCTCAAAACAAACCGTTTTGTAAGTCTTTTGAAACATTAAACAAATTTGAATACGATAAACACAAGACAGTGTGCTCCTGGTATAAATAGGTTGCAAAATAAAGAGTAAATCATAACTTAAAAATTGTAAAAACATGGAAAGATATTTTCAAAGTGTTTTGGGGGGAGTTTCAGTCGACGAATAAAAATTAACAATCGCGTAAGCCATTTTTCACAGTTCTGATGCATCTAATTTTTTCGTTTTGAAGAGAACGGAAGGGAATAACAAGAAATTTATTAAACGTAATAAAAACCAAAATGTTTTATACAGAAAAACCTCAATAAACATGCGTCTCGATTGTCCACAATCTGTTTATCAACACATAGCGTAAAAAGCTTAATTTGCTACAAAACATATGCTTCCAGTTATTTTTCTTAGATCAATATTCATTAAATCTCGATTTATCCGGACTCTCTTTCCCCAATTAAGATTCTGTTGCACTTAATATTTCGAGAGCACGAAAATAAAAAGCTTCGACCGTGATTTGGAATAAAAATTCCACGTTCTATGATCTCGATAGGAAACTGTGCCGGATTTGTTCGAGCACCGTAGCTCGTATAAATTGTCGCGAATCTTAAAACAACGGTTATACAATATCGCGAAGTCATAAATTACTTTATCACCGTCGGCTACGAAGCGCTGCAAACGATTCTATGATATACTACGTGCTCCGAATAACGCGAAAAGAGGAGTACACAAACCGACACGGATCTTTGATCTATCACGTTCATGTATGTTTCTGTTTGAAGTGTAGATATAAGTTCAGATACCGAAATGTCGGATAAATGCTAACTACATTGATAAATCGTACGTGCAAATGCATCGTAAATTCTCTCTGTGAATCACCTGAACAGCCAATCGATTAAAAGTTGCTGACGGATCTCGGGAACAACAAAATGTCTCAAACTACGATCACAACTGGCTGAACAACAATCACAATGCTTTTCGTCCGGGGTCGTAGCATTTTTGGGAGAAATTGTAACGTTCTGAGGGATTTTAAATACTATGAAACAAGTTGCGTCAGACATAGATAACTTTAAACGTATGGAATACGACATAAATAACTCCAAACGCATGGAATATGACACCCAAATATTATAAAAAATATAACTACAAAAATGTACATTTGTATTCTGTACACTTTTTGTTAAAATATTCAAATAATTATCGAAATAATGAACTTTCCAATGGAAACCCTCCCTTAAGAGAGCTTTCAGTAGTTACGGTAAATATTCCGCGCGCGGTCTGTGTATTTATTTATTTTAGGGGATAAAACCCCATTAATGTACAAGAGAAAATATAGTTATATTTTTACACTAGAAAACAGTGCTTCTATATAAACAATACATAGTATATAACATAAAAAATCAACAACGTCAGTGTTCCATTACAATTAAAATTTTTCCAAAAATTTGCTTAACGAACATGCACTTCTGGTGCATGTCTATCAATATTTACAAATCAATATTCAAACTGCAATATTGAAATTTTAAATAAATACAGCTCGTAGCAAACACAATTAACTCGATAAGAACACTACTTGTCAAGATCACATACGATGAAAGAGCATCGTACAAAGGATTAAAAGTCGTGAAGTTTTTAATAAACATTATGAATTAACTCCTGCAGCGCGGACTATAAACTTTAAGTAGGTCCACGAAAGTTAAGAGGTTCGAGTCAAAAGATCTCTGACGCGAGTCCATCTCTTTCTACGTATGCACCGTTTCCAGAAAGACGTTAATTAACAAACTACACACTGCGGAGCTTCATTTTGCACGAAGCACATTCAGATATTCTCTCCTCTCCTGTTCTGAATATGAAGTACCATGAACAATTGTGGTGCAACGCTGTACTTAAACATCCCTAGGAAAATAGCTGCGCTCAACATCTTGCTCAGAAAACCATACAGTTTCGTAATTTATTTTAATCAACCGTAACGTGAAAATTACGCTTCGTACAATCTGCTATGTTCTATGCAATGTTCTTTTTTCGTACTGTAAATCTACGGTTGAGGGGGAGGGGGGAGGGTAACCACACTGCAGAACTGGACGCGATGTTACCACATCGTGACACGCAGCGTTGTGCCTCTTTGTTGTGTTATTGGAGATACTGTAGAATTGCACTTTCATCCATTTGTCAAATGAAAATTAATATGTCAAACTTTCTTTAAAGCGGGTACAATCTATCGACGTCATATTCCGCCATTTTACGGTAGATGTGGCGTCGTAACTATCAATAAGATTTGTTGCTAGGCAATATCGTCGTTACCGTGGAGACAACGGTTGTTTAGACAGTTTAATGGATGCCACTCGATGAGTATCACGTCGAGATTATAAGACACTATTATGGCTTACTCAATGAACTAAAATGGCTTAGAAGTATACAGGGGGATGTTTATGCAAATAAATATGATTATAGAGTGTAAATAAAGTTATGGATCGTGGAAATTTGTTTTGTAGTACGTGTCCGTGTTCGTACAGGATTGGTTAAGAGGTAAAAATCGACAACGTTGCTGCTGCAACTGTGTAGCTCTCAGAGCTCAACTTAAAATAATTGATATACTCAAGCCGTGTGCAACGTAACACGCGTGGCCAATTAATCCTGACTGACGCGTAATCACGAACCCCAGATATCCAGTGTTACTGGAAGCTCGCTCGAAATAAGGAAAACAGAGCTGTAATAGACTGATTCGCTTTCGCGGTGGCTCAAATATTTACAGACAAGCATTAGAACGTAATTAATCTATTTAAAGAGAATACGGACAAGCTTATCGAGCTTTTGTAAGAGAACAAAGATAATTAGATATTAGTAGTGATCGATGCTGCAATATTATATTTACAACGAAATTCCCCTCATTGGACATTATAATCGTTGTATGGATCGGTAAGCGGCTAAAGACAAATTGTATATTCGAACAATGACAACAGACCCACTTTATACTCACTACGAAAAGTAGATTTAAGAGAATTTATTTTCACGAAGCTGAATTCGTTAATTTTCTTACTGTGTTATTACGAAAGGAAGCATCAGAGGAATAATCAAAGCTGTGGCCTGTGCTAGTACAATTTCGTTGACTAATTAAAAGAATTACATTGCAGCAAAAAGGATTGAAATTGTTTTATGTCCTCGTTAAAACGACTAAATAACGGAAATATGACTCGTGAAAAGATTCTGTGTTATTAACGACACCTACTTGAAAATAATTTCAAAATTATATATATTCAATATAGGTATATAGAAAAGAATTCTCCTTCAATCTAGACGCGTATCTAGCACCATCTTGAGGCCCAAAGCACAGTGACAATATGGCAACTGATTTGAAAATTGAGAATCGCTGTTGCAACTCCAACAGTTATTGTAAAAATGTGAATGCGTGAAACTTTAAATACAATTTTCTCGAAAACTTATCTTTTATGTTGTTGGCATGAATAACTCGAATATTGTTACATCGATTTTGGCGAAATTTGGAATTAATTTTATGGTGTGCATTGTCTATCGTGTAACGTACAATTACTTTCTTTTTGTAGCTAGTTCCTTGAAACGTAACAGAAAAATATCTGATCAAAATGGCCTGTTTTCTTCTAAATATAATCATTTTTACAACTTAAAAAATTCAATATATTACACAGTAGACAAGAAATTAAAAAATAATAATGCTCTAGATTTTCAAATTAGAGTCAAGTTCATACACTTGCATTTCTTACAATCTGGTATTCAATGTATTAATAGAAGTAAATGTTTAAGTTGTTTACATTTTCTTCCTAATTGCGATGGAATTAAATACCCCTTGAACCACAATTGATCACACAATAAATAATGGTAGAAGTAATCGAAGAATAGGACGAACGATCTGAAGAAACGAAAGAGAAAGCAGAATTTGCAATAATTCAACCAAAGAAGGGATTGTTTGGAAGTTTCGCGAAAAAAACGCAATTGCTTTCCGTGGAAACAAACTGCGAAACGTTTCTTGCAGTATCCAGGGGGAATAAACATTTGTAGGAAATTCCTAAGAGAAGATCGATCGATGAATAAATTACGGGGGACTTCGACGGGTCTTTAGGTTTCCCCATTCCAATAATTCCACATTTTTACACGATACTGATAGGCAACTTCAAAGTACGAGTACCTTGCATAATACGACGAAAGAATGAAAGAAGATCAAAGATTGATGTACATATTGATCGCTAGCGTTCAGAGTTTCAGTACTACGTGCACGAAGGTTGAAATGCAAGGAATTTACTTACACAAGAATATCAAACACCGGCCAGAATCGTTTCCTAACAAAAAACAGTAGCGAAAACGTAATGAGTAACGAGTAATTTACTCAACGATTTTATAAACCGCACGAATGTTCATTTAAACATTTTTTTGCAATGAAAAAAATATCGAACGTGCAAACAATTTGCTTTGGCTTCCTTGATAACATTCTTTTGTAAGTGGAAAAGAACCGCGTTACAAAGGATTCCGTAAATCATTTGAAAGTGCAGGATCATACATTTGATTCGTGAAAAATTCACCTGTACAAATGTTAAATATTTTTTCTACATTTTCTTTGACAGAGTATTCAACGTGTAAATAAATGCTTTTTCAAGTTTGTTTGATCAGCTGGAAAAAGCTTTCCCTTTGACGCGGGAAACCATCGTTCACCGTATTTCGCCATTGATACACTTCGATATACGTATCCAAATACGATAGAAATAGGAGATCAACTTTGGAAATGGATTCAAAAATTAGTATTATTTCCAATAGATGTTTGAAAGAGTTCAACGATCGCTAATTCAACGAGGAAGAAATTTTCGAACATTTCTTATAACTAATAAATCATAAATAGCTTTAGAAGATAATTTATGACTTTTCGCTGAAGCATTTTTGAATATAAATTTACATGAA